GTTCTATGCAAAGAAGATTTTAATCGACTTCACATCCAAAATAAAGCACTTATCAAAGGAAATCTGCTAAGCTATGTGCCACAAGAGGAGGACAAAGCATTTAAGGGGAGATGGTAAAACCTGGACTTCAGAATTAAAGACACAGAATGAGAGAAGGTCACCAACAACCTCGCTGAACAAGGATGCAAATAAATAGAGGTACAGAACTGAATGGAAATGGAGGACAGAGAGGCAACATTCAGCATGATGCAGCTCTGCTTTATGGCAGTTCAATAAAACCTCACATGCACTCACTGTCTTTTCACACCACAAAATTACAGAATCAAGTGGATCTGATGATTTTGGCCACAAGAAAAGAATGATATGACTCAAACCAGTGCTCTCTGTAAGCAGAGCACTCTCTAAGGGAGGGAGGAAAAAACAGCCTTGCTACTTTCCAACACGTGGCAGAAAGGTGTGACAGGTCCCAACAAGCAGAACAGCACAGGGCACAGTGACATGAAAAAAAAAAAGTATTAAATCTTGACTTTCAGAACTAAAAAATGTATGTTTCCAGACCAAAAGGAAAAAAAATCTTCTTAACTTCTAAATGTGGTTAATTTGTGAAGTTCAGGAGTGGGAGGGAAACAGCCAATCCCTTTGGCTAGAGCTGTGCCCTAAAGGAAGGAGCAGCTCAGCTCTCATTCATCTGCTGATTTCTCCAATTCCCTGGATTGTGCAATTTTTGTTTCAGCTCTCCCAGGGCAGGTGAACAGGTCTGTGAGCCACCAGCTCACAATGCCAGCCAGGAATTGTTCAGGTTCGCTCGATCCCATCAACCATCTCAGAGTCACATTAACCATCAAAGATATGCAGAATTCAGGAATTGGTTAACAGGCAGATAATCAACAGATAAAAATGGCTTTAGGCACTGCTGCTCTTGATCTAAAGCCAAGCTACAGAATATGCCAAAAATCTGCTTTAGAGATGCAAAATAGTGAGAATTGCTCATTGAAGAAATGCAAATGTATATTCATGTTCTCTCACATGCCCAGGTATCCTACCTGTTTGAGACAGAGGACTGCAATTTCACAACAAATAGAAAGGTGTTCATTGTGACACTGCCACTGAGTCACCTCCTACTGAGCCAGAGAAAACAAAAGGAAATAATGTTCTTTATTTCTATTGCCCTCATTCTCACTCCAGCTGTTTTCTCACTGAGGTAGGGGACAGTGAGGAAAAGTTTAGTTATTTTATAAGCTCTTAAATGTTACTCAGTGTCTCCAAGATCATTCCCAGTGATTCTCCTTCAGCATGCCCAGAGCAGGGCCTGCTGGAAGCATCCAGCAACAAGGCAAGCAGGGAGCAGATCCAGCTGACATCCCCTCTCTCCTTGAAACAAAAAGCTTTGGGATTTCTCAGAGCACTGTTGAAATTAAATAACAGAATTAATGAGAGGCAGAGTGAAAAACTGCATAGTGTGTGCGGTTTGGGAAATAATTTCCTGGGCTACTACAAACTTAGAAAGTTGCTCTGTAGAACACTAGTAGGTACATTAGGTTGGAGCTCCAGAAGAACACAGAATAAGATAGGAAGGCATGATTTTTTTCAGAATTAAGGGAAATAGAAGCTTGAATTTTCCTATTAATTAGCTGCCAACAAAGCATACATGTTTTGTGGTTGGTAAATAAGCAACATGTGGCTTATCCTGGATAAATGGGACAGATGCAGCTTCTAGGGATAAACAAAACCAGTGTGATGTCCCTGAGCTTCACAACTGCTCAAACTAGGGATTTGCACTGAGCCTGATATTTCTTAAGCAGAATTTAAGAATTTGTAGTATAAATACACCAAGTCTCAAAAACTTGTGTCTTCTGAGAGTGTCTATTTACAGAATTCATGCGAGAGGGACTTAGAGATGATGTAGAATAGTCACCAGAGGACAAGGTGACAGCAGTTGTTCTTCAAGAAAAAGCACAGTGCGTTAGTGATTTGTATTTTGAGATCCAAAATCCTCCACTCTGAACATTTCCAAGGACAGAACAGTTCCACCCTACACGCATTATTTTTAAAAAGTGTCCCAGATAAGAGCAGCTTAAGAGAATAGAAATTAAGTTGCTCTTTAAAGCACAATTAAGGAGTCTGTGATCCAGGAAATGAGACACAAAGGCTGCTGCTGTTACCTCAGTGTTACCTGAACCTGGGGCAAGCTTCTTGCTTTTTCAGAGATGGAGACACGGGTTTCTTTAAAGAATAATTTGTTGGGAAGATCCCAGAGGCATCTGATATCTTTGGTTCTGCTGTTTAGTAACCAGACTTCAAATCAGAGTAAGGCAATTTGCATTTAAGAGTAACAGAAAAGAGGAAGAACCTCAGGGATTAATTAGGACCTGGGAGATTTCTCTTGGTGGGCAAAGTTGGACACTTTTCCTACCTGTAGATCAATAATAACAAAAACAGCAGACTGAAGCCTACAATATCAGGGCCCACTGGGAGCACTGGTCTTCAAATCTGACTGCCAGTAACCATCAGCAGGACTAGGATTAGGAATAAAATTTCTGAAAGTATATTGAGACTGCATAAAGTCAAAAATCCAGGTCAGGAGAAGTTGCAAAACAGTGGAAAGTGCAAGTCTGCAAATTAGAATTTCAGGAACAAACCAAAAAAGCTTACTGCTTCACAGGCATTTCTCAACCTTCTGCTTTTTGTTTTAATTTTTTTTTTCTTTTTTTTTTTTTTGCCCCTCCACCTTCTCTGGTTTATCAGACTGATTGAAGCCAAGCCAGAACTTCAAACACAGAACAAAACTTCATTCAAACATCGCCAAACATCTTCCAAGGCCAGAAAATTGAATGACATGATTATTCTGAGGACAGCAGAGAGATCATTCTTTTAAGAACAGAAGTCCACCCTGCCACTGCTCAGTAGATTTGCGACCAGGCCAACTTTTCTCAAAGTTGTGTCAGAACTGTTGAGGGGCTCTGGACCAAACTGATCTATTTGCTCACCAGAAACAGCTGGCTATGTTCCCCTTTCTCCTTCAGATCTTTGAATTAGAGTTCTGTAAGATCCAGCAGGTTACACCTCACACAGGCACCCCACACATTTTCTGTACCTGTGACATGGAAGATGTGCTGGCTCTGGTGGAAATGGAGTTCATCTGCCCATGCCAGCCCTCCAGGGCTGTGTGCTGGTAACACAGCAGTGCTCTGAGCCCTGATCCCAAGGCTCTCTCCAACATTCCCCCTCTCCACAAGGCTGGGTGTGGGCAAGGTCTGCAGTGGCAGTCAGATCCAAACTGAAAAAGGACTGCTCCTTTTTCTTTTAATAAATTACCTTGATCTTGACCTATGAGTTTTTTCCACCTTCTCTTTTTCCCTGTTCTTCTGAGGAGTGACAGAACCCAGCCAAGGCCAGGCCAGCACAAGAACCAAACTGAAAGAGGACACAAATTCACCTGAATTTGGAACATGGCAGGAACAGGTTTGTGTTGCTTAGAACAGATCAGAAAGGCCCTTCAGTCTACTCAGGTCCTCTTTGTTACTTGTTTGATTGTCATTTAATAGTTCATACTGAGGGTTGTTGGGCACTTAAGTATAACAGAATATAAACAAAACAGTTGAAGTACTTCCTAAAAAGACTACAAACTGTTTAGTTGAATTTAGTCTAATTAACAAAGTCTTCATTTACATCTATAGAAGTCATATAAGCAAGAAATATGACAGCTCTTAGCACTAATTTCCATAAAACAAGCATACTGGATCAACTTGCCTTTCTGGTTTTTTTGGCATCTGACTGAATTACATTAACTGATGGATATCAAAACAAAAACAACCTAGGATTTATCATTTTATTGTGTTTGAAATATGAGTTAGGTTAACTGCTACTCAGGTACTATTAAAGCTCCAATTTAATAAATCCCATTGTAAGGATGATCAGATTTCAGAAGAGCCCTAATACAGGTGGTGTGATGAGCAGGTACACATCCCACCATCAAGCAGCAGGTTGTTTGGCAGACATTCCTCAGCCAAAAAAAGTGTCTTTTGTAGTTCAAAAAGTTCAAAAGGTGTTTAGTTGACAAAGAGCAATAATCCTAAAACTGTGTGTTTTGTTCAGATCCCTACAGGAAATACCTTCATGACAGACCGAGTCAATCAACCTTTCCTTCCCAGAAACCTCTGGCATTGAAATAAGTATCACAAGATAAATTGAAATAAGTATCACAAGAGAAAATGTCAGAGATGTGGAAACAATAAGGCTGACTTTGCTGACAAAACAAACTCAGTTTTCAAGTTTATAAAGGAATATCTTTGTCAGTAGTATTGACAAATTAGTTAACTGCCATAGCTATTTATATAATTAATGGCCAAGTTATTATATATATATATTATCTTTGAATAAGTAGAACATATGCACAAACTCTCTCTAAAGAACACTGCCCCTAATCACAGAAAATCATATAAAACCAAAATCATATAGATCAGAGAAAAACTCTCTCACAGAATATTCCTGACAGTTTATTTCACAGGAATAAAAATGGAATTCTAATAATGTTTCATTTTACAGGCAGACATAGAGAGAAACATCAGCTGAACTGCAGGCAGTTCATCAGTGGTAACAACCCACACATTCCCTATGGTTTACAGTTCCTTAATTATTAAAAGCAGATAAACCATAGCTGTAGCCAACCCTTTGCAGCTTTTCACATGACTTAGAAAGGCTACATAAAAAAGGCATTCTCCTTTAGATTACAGACATTAGCCAAACCTATATACTTATTTGCTAAAGAGTATCACTGTTGTAATGAGATCTGGTTTTCTGAAGAGAGAAAATAAAGGGAAGAAAAGAAGTTTAATCAAAGCTCCCATTCAGTGCAAGGATTAAAAATAAAGGAAGAGAATACACTGGTTATTGCTTTGCCTCCCCCAGCCCCACTGTGAAATTTTCATATCCTTTTAAAGATGTATCCGGAACTCTGTCAAAGAAAAACCCAGAAATACACACAAGAAAAAAGTACTCACACTGTTTGGGTGTTGAATGGCAACTTCGTGCTGCAGCCTAACCCGCTGTGGCATCATCACATCATCCTGGAATAAATAGCACACTGTTACTGAACATAAAAAGGGTCACAGAACACTACTGACACACACTAGAATATGTTGCTAAATGAACATCATTTTACTGGCTTGCAGTCAGAAATGCAAATGGAACAGATATGAAGAGACTTCACATTTTTTGTGGATTAAGCTGCTGGAGCTGGAAGTGATGGAAACTACTACGTGACAATGGTGCTGTGATCTCAACACACATCCACTTCACATTTATTTCTCAAGAAACTCTCCAAGTCTTTCACAACTCCCCCAGCAGCACTGGCAGTGTGAGGACAAGGAACGACCCTCAGTTAAAGCCACGAGATCTGAGAGTAGCAATGCGAGGAAATGTTCTCTGCAATCCGGCTGTACCTTCTTCCACTGAAAATGAAAAGCCTTTGGTCTCTAGATCTAAAAATATGTCATATTTCATGGGCACAAAAACAAGTACTTGTGAAATGAGAAAATTCTAAGGAAAAGGAAAAAAGGGAAGTACCCACACTCACAGAACGCATTAGCGTTGACACTGGCTTTAGAACACACCACCTGGATTGAAATTTTGTGTTAGTACTTCTTCCACTTGCAGCATAAAGATCTGCTCTACTTACATACAAAAAAGATGGGTTGTTTTGTGAAAAGTCAGTAATTTTGCTATCCTGCCTTGAACTGTTAGGAGTGATTCCTTTCAAAATTATATTATTTCCTGTTCAAAATTAAATCCTTTCTAGACAGTGATTTTACAGTTTATAGAAAATATAGCACAATTTTTCTTCCCTAAATTTAGGCCTCTGAGGTTTCTACCTATATTGTTTTCCATGTTGGTGCCATATTTCCCCCCTTTTAAAGAATCAGTCTTTTTGAGATTCTGGTTAAAGCTAACACAGCCTATTTCTTCTCAGAGTATTTCCAATAAACTTAATCAGGCAAACATAACTCAAAGGAGCCCTGAATTCCTACAGACACCCTTTTAACAGTTCCTCACACTGAAATAATTCTGATTTTCCTATTATTTCCTCTCCTCAATATTGAATTTCCAACCACTTTCACATTAAAACTTCCCTTCAAGTCAACAGAAACAAAAAATATATTAGTGTTTAAATATCTACAGCTTGAAGAGTTGAATGACCTTGCTATAAAGGCGCCCCTATAGTTTTATCAAAACATGCATGATAAAAAAGGTTTCAGAAGTAGGTCCAACTATTTAATACAATTCAAGGTTAAAGATAAAACAAAATAATAATAAAACTGACTCCTATCACACATAAGTTTATAAAAGATGGGAGGACTACGTTGTCAAAAGCATTTTTCTGTATTTTGCATTTAGGATATGTTTAGTAATGAACATGACAGCTGTTCCTGATTTTCAAAGCCAATAGAGCAAAAAAAACTCTTCTGATTTCCCATGACTTCAAAACTACAATAATATTATTTACCACCTCATCCACTTTATCAACAGAGCACCAGAATTCCAGTATCAAGCAAGTCTTCCCATAAAACCTTTACCCTACTTCCCACAAGAAGAACCATAATCCTATTTCTTTACTCCAAATACGGAGCTGATTTTTGTAAATTAAAACCTGCTTTTCATATAAGCAATAGCAGATATATTTTAACTGAACTGTGTTCACTCCTTTACAAGTTGCTAAGGATCCTTAGATGTTTTCTTGGTAAATATCCAAGGGAAGGGAGGAAAAAAGGGAAAAAGGGGGAAGAAAAGGGAAAAAAGGGAAAAAGGGGAAAAAAGGGGGGAAAAGGGATAAAAAAGGGGAAAATCCACCAAAAAGCCAGGAATTTAAATGCTCAGAACAATGCTACCCTCATCTTTTAGAAGAGACATTTGCTCTTGTGCTAAAAGATCTCACTGTTCACGATCCCCACAACAGAGAGAACTCTCACATTCTCAAAGATGAAAAATAATATACTTGATTTAAAAAGGTTAAATCAGCATGGAAAGCATTCAAACCAAATCAAAATAACCTATGCACCACAGAGGTCGATGTCATGCTTTCACAACCACCCAGTTTGACAGCAATGGCCCCGTTCCCCTAAGAAAACACTGGCTCAGTTGGATGCTGCTGGCAAAACTCACAGATCTGGGGCTTAGGCTATCAGAGAGCATCAGTATTCTGTAAACTCCAGCTAAAGAGGGGGCACTAGAACCACAAAAAACTTCTAAATGCCTCTTTTTATTAATACAGCTTTGTTCTCTAATGCTGGAAAACTCTATGAACTCTTACCCTGGATGACCTTTATTTATTTTAATAATTCTGTCTCATTTTTTATTAGCAGCTTTACACACACACTGCACTGCTGGATGGTTCTGTGATACCTTCTGAGTTCATGGGAAAAGAAAGAAAGATGGGGGGAAAAGGAATATAATAGTTGAGGACATAATCTCAAATACTATAATAAAGAGTAATATAATAATGCTATATATAGTATTATATGTGTAATACTAATGAGTAATATAATAATGAGCACAAAATAGAAATCACACCCCAGACCAAAATGAGATACAACCATCATTCAGCTTCTTTGGATTCAGGCTGATACCAGAAAAGTAACTGCAAAATCCAACTTTGACACATTCCTCACTATGGGTGCCTGGAAAGGTAACCATGCATTTATAAATGCATTTATAGTGAAATAACCTTAGGATGGATTTAGCATTGGTATTTAAAAACCAAAATAAATCTGAATGAGTAAAACCAAAGCGATTGTACCACAAATTAAGAGCACCTTAAAAAATGATGGAATTTTAACAACTGTAGTATTAAACAACAATTTTACCCAACAGTACATGATGAACCACAAATTTTCTATCAAAGCTGTTGCACTTATGATATTGAACTCAGCAAATGTGTTGCCAGACTTCAGTTTCTACAGGCAGAGTTTGATCATCTTTTTTTCTTTTTTTTTTGGTTTAACACTGAGAACAAAACCTCAGTAATCAGGCAAACACTTTCCAAATTATTTTTCACTCATTTCAGACAGGAAAAAAAAAAGCCTATACAAAAAAAGGGAAGTATATTTAGTTTGTTTCTGTTTCCTAGGTGAGAGTAGGGAAGATAACAATAGCAGCAGTGACTTACATTGAAAAAGAATTTTAAGAAAACAGAAGTTTACAATAAAATCCAGTTTTCTCTGTTCACATGGAAGTCTCTAATGGTTGTCCCCTAGCAGATATACAGGATGAAGAGAAATTTCTTCCATGGAAAGAATAGACAAAAGAAAAGAAGTTCAAAATAAATGTTAAATAAATGCATGCCTTTCCTAATCATCTACTTGGAATACAAAAGCTGGCCTCTTCAGCCAGGCTGTGTGGATCACATTGGGCTCCACAGTGGTAACTTCATCATTTTCCCTTAAAAATTGGTGCTTCTGCACTCGAGAAAGTAAAACAAATATACAGTTCAGTGCACAATACACATCTACTTTTTGCAACCAAGGGCAAGTTCACAGAAAACAAAACATTGTAGCTCAGTATTGAGGAGCTTTCTTAAGCTGACATTACAGACTCAGCATCTCATTTTGGACTTTTCCAAAGTCCTTCATATTTGGCTTCTCAAAATGAAAAAAAAAAAACGGATTGAGAGCTGATACACTCCACTCCCATAACAACAGCACCTTCTTCCCATTACAGCTATTGAATTCAAAATACAACCAGCAGCAACAGCGGGAGGAATGCTTCACTCACTGAGCAACAATATGGCATCTCCAAAATCTTTCAATTCATCAAATGGTCCGTTCATTTATCCTGCACCTGCTCAGACTAGAGGGAAAATCTTTCTTTGCTGTTGTTCAGTTCAGCTCCTCAAAGCAGGAAAGTGAAATGCCTGGGACCTCCAAAAACTGGCCTGTCAACAGCTCTGCTGAAGGAAATACCCAGATCCCAGGCAATTCTCCAGGGGCTGGCGTTTGAACAGCCCCACACTATCAAACTCATTGGAGCCAGTCACACAAATGGCACCCACAAATCACCTGGGACTAATCATCTGTCAGTACTTGCAAGACTGTAAGAAAAAAATGCTACTTTTCTGTTTCTACTCCCAAATTAAACTGAGAAAGAAGGGGACAACAAATAAAACATTTCAAATTTAAGAAGCTGACTGCATTGAGCACCTCTTTTTTTTGAGGATAGCAACAAACAGGTCTACATGGAAAGATCTATGTGGTGCTCTTATGAGCCTGACAATCTTTTTAATGGAATCTTTTAATTAAGCATCACTATTAGTTGGTCAGGAATCATTTGCTGTAGAAGCAGCTCCCACCTCAGTGCATTTATTCAACAAATGCAGACACATATCTTGCTTTTCTGTGCTCACTGGAGATCACCTTTGATTATTTTGTCACAGTTAAATCACTGAAAAAAATTATGTGTCTGCAGCCAAGTGAGGCAGGCAACTCACAAGGTGTTCAGCAGCAAAGTCAGTAAACCCAGAAAAGCTTCACCAGTGATTCCAAATGCCCTCTTTAACTGCTGACTAGATGAAGACACATGTAGGGAGAGGTTATGGCAACCAGATTCTGAAGGTTTGCTTATTTAACTTTTCATACCAGACAGAGGCATTTAATCTGGTTTTAATACAAGCACATCTTTACAAAACAATGATAGGGATGATGCCTTCAAGCACTCGTATTTTGACTTTTTGGGGCTCATTGGTGCTTAGGAAACATGGACAACTCTTCTGGTAATGGAGTTCACCACTACATCCACACCTGCTATTTGTGTAACAGCTTATTTCAGTTTTTAAATCAGAGGATAAGATCCCAAGGAACAGTACGTTAAACAACAGAAAGGAAATACATGGACTCTGATCACATCTTCACTTCCTAAGAAACACAGACTAATTTGAAAGAAAGGAGGAATATTTCAAAAGTTTATTAGTGCCTCTAATGTATAATGGCAGCTCAGAGGAAATCCATGCTTCCAAACCCAGGAAGTTACAGAGGTTGGAAAAACAATCTGTTTATAACTGAGTGTGCCTGACACATCTGGCTAGAGAAGGTCCAACCACCTTCCTCCAAGGCCTTTAGCAACACCCCCTCAGCGAGGTGGGTTTGGACCTGAACCTCAACGAACACATGCAATTTGAAATTAAGCAATTATGCATACAGCAATAAAGAATTACAATCTTAAATCATGCAAATCAATCTCCCAAATCAAAAGACACAGGTCAGCAGCTGCCAATTCCATCACAGGAATGACAAATCTGCTGTGGTTCACCCTCATTTTTGGTGAATAAAACTTACCTGTGTCCCCATGGCATTTTTGACTATTAGCAAGCAGTGACACTGTGGCAAAATGGTTTAAAGTCATGTTTTTGAACTGCCTGAGAATCTCTGAAATTGTGATACATTGCCAACAGAGCCTTTCAAAAGATTAAAACAGGCACGTTAAGTTCTCAAGTGATTATAACTTGAGACACTGCAGGTCAAAAAAGGACACATTTTTATGTGTCTTTTTTAAAAGAAAGGAACTCTCCAACAACACACTGAATAAAGCTGAAATAATTGGAAACTACACAGATTATTAAGATGAAATGAAAGCACGATCCTTTTTAAAGAAATACAGTTTCAGACAAGTAGAGGCATGTTTATGTGCATGTCAATGAAAACAGCAGTTCAAAGAAGAATTTTTGGTGTAAGACTTCTGCTGTGCTGCAAGTGGGTAAATGCTTCTAACAAAGATAGCACCACCCCAGAGAAGTGACAAACTACAGCTACAGTACAATGAAACTGGCAGATAAAGTCATAACTGCAGACAATTTGAAGAAGAAAAGTTATCAGTGAAATATATTGTAAATGTTATATATGAAAAAATTGTTACTTGTTTTCCCAGAGGGGAAAAAATGCCTCAGTAGCTTGATGGTGAAATCTGTAACAACAACCACAGTAAAAAACTCCACAATAGCTGTTAGTCCAACAGCTGCCACTTCATACTAGAAAAGGCTGATCAAATTCTGACAGTTCTGAGACCTGTAACCTTTTTTTTCCACATTTCTTCCCAGTTTGTTGTCCTCAGAAATCTGTGTTGAGAGACATAACAGGAGCAGCTTGGCTCCAGCTGGAATGGCAAGCAGAAACAGTCTTGCTGGAGCCAGCATTTCCAAAGATGCTCCCAAATATGCTCATCCACTCATTTCACTCCACCGAAAAAACAAAGAATGCACAAAAAGCCAGGAATGCATTTCTCCACCTATTTGCAATGTGCACAAACAGCCCCAGCTCCATTCTTCTCCACAACCACCTGTAGCAAACCTGAAATTGGGCTGCACTTCTGAAGGTCAATTCCTTGGCATTACTGCAGCACATTCCAACAGGCTGATATCAACATTCCTTCCTAGAGAGCTGGATACTGGACTGGTGACTGAAATGAAGAAGGTAGGTGCTGTGTGGAAGCAGAGCTGTTAAACAGCTGGCAACATCTGGGTCCCAGCTACTATCACACAACATTTACTAACTACAGCCAAAACACTGAGCAATTTTTGGACTTGTAGCAGTTTCCACATCCATTTTATTTGCTCTGATCCGTTTTCAGCCAAACATGGTAGGCACAAGGGGAGACAGTAGAAAATACATTTAAGTAATGCCCGGTGTTTAATATTTCTTTTGTAACAAGGTTAGGCTTCTGGTAGTCCAGAATGCCTCTGATTTGAAGAAGCGATAGAAATGCATGGAACAGAAAATCTTGGTGACTTCTCCTAAGCTTATCCACACTATAAACCATAAAATCCTCAACTCACTTCAAGTAATTCTTGATAATATTAAATGTAAACTTCTGCTAATGACAATATTGCAGAAATGCAGTATCATTACCAGTCATATCCCTTAATAATTGCAATTTGCTTCCCCGACATTTTGTTTTCCTGCAATAGTCAGCCAACAGAAACAACACAGCAGCAGGAAGATTTTAATATATGGTAAACTGAGAATTCTGAAGAATCACTATGAAAATATGAATTAACTTCATTTGGAGAATTTGATTTTCTAGTTTACTGCTAGTGATTGTCAAACAACTACATCTGTCTGGATGGAAAAGAAACACTAACCCATAAATTACTTCAGTATATCATGCTATACATATTTGAGACAGAAGATATGAAGCTTCATGGGACAAGAGTAGATTAATTTCTCATTCATGTACTTCTGGACTCAGATAACTCCAGCCAGCTCAAGAACACACATTCTTCATCCTACAGACTCCCTGGAATGCCCTGTGCAATGTAATGCAAGCCTAGGATACCCAAACTTTGCAAATCATAAATAAATTCCCTTGGTTTTTGATTTTTTTTTTCATTTTAGATACGTAAACAGCCTCGCTGACTAACAATATATTACAAAAATCACAACATTTTAACATATGAACAAAAAAAAAATTCTTCCATCAAGTTGATAAGGCAGGTGGGGTTTGCAAACTGAAGGATTTCCCTAATTAAAACCTGAGAATGGCTGTGGAGTTCACACACCTGCTCTCACAACACTTTTTAACAAGCACAGACAATCGTAATATTCAGTTGAATTGTAGCTGAAAACCAACCCTGTCAGCAGCCAGTTCATCCTGTACTACCCTAACCCATAGCTCAGTTCCAATTCAGAGGGGAAAAAAAAAATCAGTCTTCAGGTGAAATTACAGGAGATCAGTGAGCCTTGAAGGTCCTGCTCCTCCTGCCTGCTCCCAGCACACGGCCCCACTCCTGTGCTCAGCTGGGCACCTCTCTGAAACCATTCCTGCATATTCAGCTGCACCAAGAGAGATCTTTATCTGGGGGTTACCGAGCTCAATGGCTTCACAGAAGATATCCAACAAAGGACAGGAAAAAAAAAATTCAACTTGGAAGGTGAGACTTCTCCTATTTTACATTAAAAAGCCGGTAGATTAGCTCTTAGTTTCTCATCAATACAATTTTCTGAAGAATGTGGGAAAGAAATATCCTCAAAACACCTAAACACCAACCTTGCCCAGCCCTGTTCATAGCAGCTTGTGAAATCTGATATAATCAAAGAATGATGTAAGGCTTTCTACAGGCTGGAATACAACTTTACAGCCGTAAATAGCAACCAGCACATTAAACAAACTCCTTTAAGCAGGTTGTCTTACAGCAAATCAGCAACTCCATTAAAAAGGAAAGGATTATATTGACAAAACCAAGTTAGACAAAAAGCATTAACTTACTGAATCCAGAAAGCAGAGATAGGTTCCTGAGCTCTGAATTACTGCTTGATTTTTAGCAAATCCAACTGTTGAGAAAGCAAAGATAAAAATATGGAGGAGTTTTTACTGTTGCATCTTTTTAAATCTTAATAAAGTGAGGAACAAACTAAAGAAAATGCAAAAATCAGTATCACATAAAGTACCAGATTTTTCCATATTTAAAGAAGTTAATTTGTGAATATTGAAATAGGAGGCCTATGTCAGTCATGCTCTCTGAGTGACTACCAGAATTCTACAATCAAGTAGAATAAGAGTACTTCTGCCAGCCCTCCCCAAAGATATAATATGTAATGTGTATCTTGAAAAGGGCAGGCTTTATATCCAGAATCACAGAAAGCTTTGGGCTGGAAGGGACCTTTAAAGGTCCTCTAGGCCAACCCCTTGCAAAGAGCAGATGCTGGAAACCCTTGGCTGTACATACATTCATCTTTCAAGCCCTAAAAATACCAGCAAATCATAAAAGAGGCAGGGAAGGACCAGAAACTGCTGTTTTTCCCATCAGGGATCTCAGAGGGACTCAGAAATGTCTGTTCTTTGGTGCTTGTTAAGTAACAAGTTTGCAAATACAAAAACTTCACGTGCCATTTGTGTAAAGGGGATGCAGCGAGGAGCCAAAGCAAGCTGATTTATAGATACACACACAGAGCACAAAGGTGATTTATTTATACCACAACATGTTGTATCCTCAATGGAGACCACACTGAAATGCCACTTCAGGAAAACGACAACACTGGCACCCAGGGTGTCTCAGTTTCTCACCTCCTGACACTTGGTGAATTTTTTTACCAACTCGTTCATTTCAGGAAGAAATGAATGAACCAAAGAAGACAATTTTTTTGTCAGTTTAATTTCTGAAGCAGATGACTGTTCTGGAGGATCAAACAAATGGCAGAAGCAGAAAAATAGGAAGGAGCAGGAATCCAGAGCTGAAGGTAAGGATGGGATGACTGCAACCACTGGAATACACCCACAAGGTGGGAATGCTTACCTGGGATCATTTCTGCAGGTAGACAAGGTGAACCTAAGAACATTCTGACCTCTGAATTCTTGCCCAGCATTCTAAGAAAAGCCCACACTATATCCAGTGTTAGTCTGAAAAATGCTGCATGGATTCCACTCGGTCTCATATTAACACTTAAGCTTCCTTTGGAGTATGAATGGAACCAAGTCAGGGAATCCAGCAAGATCACCCTGACCTGCAAAATAAACACAGTGAAGACATGCAATACTGTAGGGTTTTTACTCTTCAGGGGAAAAACTGGAAATGCAAAGCCAAAAAATCTCGCCATGAAGTGGAGCAGAATAATTTTAAATAATATTATCCACAAAGTTTCTGACTTTGCATTTGAAAAAAAGCAGAGCTCTGTAATTCTCTTATCCTTTTACGTGCTACAAATTTAAGTATGCTCAGGAAACAGATTTAACTGGGCTCAAAGGTTCCCTTAGTTGTAATGCACGTGCTCCTTGGCTATTTTGCTGAGCTGTCCAAGTACAGAAAAAGACTTATGACTGCATTTCTTACTGCCTCAAGGAACATTATGTCAACTACCACCAGAACAGGACTAATAAAGGCTCTTCCTCATAACTGTGTTACTTTTTCTCATGTACTTTAATCCTCACCTCAACTTCTCTTCACTGTGGGTTTTTTGGATTTATTATTTTACAGGATGTTTACATACTGCCTTTTACAGACCTATGAATATGGAATCTCATCTACACAGTAACTCTCAGTCTCCTTCCTACTGGCAGTAAAAAAGCAGCTGGCAGGGACAGGAGCTGCCACAGCAGCAGAGCTGGGTCCTGGCACCAGCACTTTGAGTGGCAAACAACTGATGCAAGTCAGCAGGCCTGGGCACGCCAAAGCAGCAGCCCCAGTCCTTCACTTACCCCTAGTAAAGCAGGAGATAAAAGAACAGCACAGAAATTATGGCAGAATTAAATTTGCCCAACTTTAAACACTTCAGTACTATCAGAAGCCACAGCAGCTGTAAAGCAGCCTGGACTTACATTTCAGTGCTGTATTAACACACCCAAATATTTCAACAACCTTCAATGGATAATAATGAATTACAAGGAACCAAAAATGTAAGAAAAGAGTGAAGGAGGCTTCAAGGCAACTAGAAGATGGCAATTATATTACTCTATGAACTTCCTGAAGTATTTCAGATTTCATTTTCAAATAAACCACTTTAAATAAAATCCCGGAATATCTAGTATTTGTTATGAGAACAAGTTGGAAAATATTTCTTGCTATGTTTAAGACAGAAACATCCTGAAGTTTTTCATATACCAGATATCTTTTAGAGGAAAGAGAGAGAAGAAAATACACATATTTTTTTAAATTATTAAGAAGATAAATGTAACTCCTCATAGAAGAAACTAGGTATTAAAAATTCTTTCACCACAACAAATTCTGTGTTTGGCATGAGTAAAAAAAATTCTTTAATATTACTCTACTGAACAAAATGAAATGTTTGTGCCAGGTCTCTGAGTTTTGTAAGGCCTGCTTACTTGGTGAAAAGAGCCTGTTGCCATGGTTACAGCCGTAAAAACTTAAGCCTCAGTGAGATATTAACATTCCTTACTCTTGGAAAGAAAAAGGTTTCCTTTTTTTAGGCAAGTGACCCTTTCTTTTTTCCAAGGTTCCCCCCCTTTCTTTTACATGTTAGAAAAGAATCAGGAATAAATCCTAATCTTGTGTAAATAGTTGAAGATGTGAAGCCTGACTAGTACATTGTTTCTGTACCAAAGCATCTTCTTTTAAAGGCAAGACTCCTTCCAGTTGTACCTAGTCCTTAACAAAATGAAAGTAAATCACCAAAAGCAAACAAATCCTATGGATGTCAAGCAACCTGCTTCTAAAATTTAACAACCATGAAGCAAAGATATCCTTGTTTTAATGGTGACCTGACAGTGTCTCTCACATGGATAAACTTGGGTTTGTTTTTTAGCAGAACTATGCGTTTCACACTATTATTTAAATTATATATTTAAATAGTGCACAGCCCCTCCCACTCCCAATTTATTAAAAGATCTGTTCAGTCTCCAGCTACCCCAACACTGACAAAAGCATGCTAAACCAAAAAATAATCTGACATATCCCTACTGGCACAATGGAATTCACAACTGGAACTCAGTTTTAGGTTCAGTTTCCTGAAGTGCAAAGGTGAACAGACATCAGAATTCTAAAATTTTTAAAAAAACAACATCCTGCTTGTGTGTCCTGGCAAACTAAAACCTAGTTTATACACAATTGATACAACACTCTAGTAGGAGCAAGACTTTAGACATAGCAAATGTTTATAAAAATGGCAAATATGTTACACAACACGATGGTATTAGCAGAAACATTACTAACTATCTTAAGTATCAGAATGAACAACCTCTGGGATTATTCTTTGACTTAAGAAATTGTAACCTACTTAGTTTCTTGATCAGTTTCTTGATCAGTAAAATAAGTCAGTTTTGAAAAGAAACTGATCACCCAATAGCAGAGGGGGGAGAAAAAGAAGAAAAAGTTACAGGATTATGTGTAATTCTTGACATTGCTCAACTCCAGCTGTATCAGTTGCCCAAAAGAGAAAAATTCCCTCTAGAAACCTTGTCTGCCTTTTGTCATTACCAGCCCAATAGTTCTAATATTACAAGCTGCACTGTCAAAACAACACCAGTTCATGCTAAAGGTATTAAAATACTAAAAATATTTATAGTAAGGGTTATGCTGTGTTACTTCAGTATTGCTGTGTCTGACAACCATTTAAAAACAGATGTAAAGCCTACAGTCAGGAGAAATGGCAGTAAATAAACCAGGGGCCTCTACCAGGTTGCAGATGAATTCAGTGCACAAACTCCCAATTTATTTGCATGTTTCAACAGGGGATGAAAAGCAAACTTTCTGAAACAGAAGTGGGCTTTTGCATAAGCAGGTCATCTTGAGGAGACTCTAATGAGCCTGAGGTTCTTTACACTTCAAACAGGACGTGCAGTGAAAAGAGAAACTGTCCAAACTCTGTGTTACAGTGTTTCCAAAATGCGACTTTTAAGAGATAATTTCAAAGACACAAACTTGGAAGCAACAGTTCCTACCTGTCTACTCATTAAAACAAAGGCCAGAATGACAGAAACATTGGTTACACAGTACAGTACAAAATGTGAGCACACTGCTCTTCCTTTGGGATCTTCCAACTTTACTGTCACCCAACAACAGCTTCTCCAAAAACCAACTGACTTTTATTTCTGTTTTACATTTTAGGAAGATTTTGTGCTAAAACCCCCCAAACATAAACCAACCAAAGCAAGCAAAAGGAAATCTGTTTAAAGAGATTTATTTGTAGTTTTCTGCAGTGGAAGATAATTCATATTAGCATGCAAATGAACAGGGGATCACATCATACACCTGTCTGACAGCTCACTAAACATATTGTTTAGCCCTTTGAGTGAATACTTGAGACTTTAGTGAGATTTTAGCTCACATCAAAACTCCTGAAACCTCTGTTTTGATTTGATCATTGAAGCAATATAAAAAAGGTATTTGTTTTCTATTTCAGGGTCTATTTTACTGGACTGAAAGATATGCATTTACTTTTAAAATCCTTATGCAAGGAATTTTTAATGTATTTTTTTCTTAGAACCCATCTCCTGAAGATAAATCAGATATCAGAAAGCCACAGTAAGATTGTAAGCATTAACAACATTGTGTATACTACAATTAAACAAAATTCTTTTGCTTTTGCAGAGTAGAGCACACAAGTGCTAAGCCAAGTTCTTCTTTCCTTGAACATATAAACAAATTCTACAGAGCCCAAAGCAACAGGGCCAAATTCAAATTGGAATGAGTTTTCAAACAGAGCTCTAGAAAACAATGTGGGTTTTTTTCCATTGCAGTGGAAATGGCTACAAAGACACTTTTCAAACTAAAAATCAGAAGGTGCCTGCAATAAGAACCAAACTTTCACAAAATGAAGCTACATACCACCTCGAGGCTGAGAGGAATTGTTGGTTCCAATGATTACTGAAATACCAACTTCTTCCAACTTGATCTTCCATTTTTCAATTATTTCAGCTGAACAATCCTAGAAAAAATGATAATGACACAGACGCAGCTATTTTAATTTGTGTGTTGAAGTGAACCAAAAATTCTTGTTAGAGACAGTATTTACTTGGACAGTATTTTAAAGAAGGTCTGAAACACACCTTACTGGCATCATTAAAAATCGACAGCTCCATGGTTCCTTTAAAATCTTGTTCCCAAACTGACTTCAGGCATTCATCTAACCAGCATTCACTGTTGTGAACAGGCACAATGATAGACTACAAAAAAACAAACAGAAATCTACATGCATGTCAGGAAGCATATTTTTGTTTACTTACTGTATATTTAGTAAAAAGCAGAAGTAGCAGATCCTTCTGAAACTAACTTTCACCAAAAAATGCATCTTAATATAAAAGTGGGCAAAGAACCTTTATTTTCATTACAAATATATGATTTGCTTTCTTCTCTATCAAGCTTATTTTTAAATTAAGTTCCACGAGATGGTTTTTGATAGAAGTCCAAGGAAATAGGAGAGACCACTGAAGCAAACCCACAAATGAAACATCTGCAGCACCATCCTGACCTGTTTCTTGTATTCCTGCATTTTGTAAGACACTCCTCACTCTTGTCCTCCATTAATACATCTTAGTCATCAATTTCTCTTCAAGCCTAATTGGAGATGCTCATATATGCAGCTGGACCCTGGGGTTGCAGCCCAGATTTTAAAAATTATTCCACCTCCAACTGCTCTAAAGCTAAGTAGGCCTTTGATTTGTGTTTTAGAGAGATAAATAACATAGTGAGAAACAAAAAAAAGTGAAACTGATTACCCAATAACTACAACATACAGACAAAAAAGATTATTTCAGAACTGTCTCAGATTAGTACTTTGAGACTAAAATAAAAGAAAAATTCTGTGATTCTGAGGTATTATATTCAATTTACTCAAGATTTTAATATGCTTTATGTGGACATGGCAATTAAAATATGACCCTACACATTCATATCAATCAATCTAACATATTCATTAAAGAAAAAAGGGTTCCACAATTCTTCCAATGACAATATAAACTTGTGCACTTTTGCACATCAAGAAAAATCAGTTATTTTTCAATTTGTTTTCTGATTCACTTAGTAAAAATTTGACTAAGCCATCACCAAGTAGCTCGCCATTGGTTTGAAAACTGGAACTTCTTTGCTTTTTTTCCGTGGTGCACTCCTGTTTTAAGTCAGGGCAGCGGTGCAAAATAGCAAGATGATGTTTGACCTCCCTGTTTAGTCTGAACTGAAAGCACAAAAAAGTACTTTGAGGGCAGCACATACAAAACAACCCATAAATACCTGATGGCACTGAGGTGCTCTGAACTGAACTGCTCATAATATATTAACATGCTCCTAAACACATTCCTGTGAGCAAATTCTACTTCCACAGAACCACAGTCACCATGCAGAACTGGACATCTGCCAAACTAAGGCTCAGAGCTGAAGTGCTGGTGATACTTCTGTGTAAAACCTGAAAAATCAACGAATCCACACAAGTAACTGTACTTAGCAATAGGATTAACACTTCAGAGTATAGCTGATGTTGTTTACTAGAGTTTTCTTAGGTTCCACCATTGTTGCTCAGCTCACTGGTATTCTGTGTTTAGTTTTAGTTTGAGGATAAATCAACAATCTATACTTTCATTTATCCCTTGTTCATTACCAGATTTGTACCCGGGCTTAAGAGCTGCAATTGGACAGTCATAAATTGGCTTTTAATGTTGTGTGACTGTACCAGAATAATTCAATCTCCTTGGACCATTTAAAGAGGGGAAAAACATGAACCAGGGCACTCTTTCACTTACAGGTACAGTCTCATAGCAAAAATAGCAGCTGGTACTAACCTCCAGAGACTGTGTCTGCTTCTCCTGTCCCAAAACAAGATCAACCACAGCTCTGGCACTGCTGACAAACCCTCTCTGCAGGGTCAAACACCGACCTTGCTAAGGCACTCACTAAAAGCAGGCATAAGGAAACCTAGAATGGTTTTCCCAGTGTCCTTTTGCTAGAGTTTATGCCAACTCCTACTTCTCAATCCCAGCACAGATGGTTATTCCAGTTCTCCCTGCAGCAGCCCTTCCAATACTAGAAGACTGCTTCCAAAACAGTGAACTACAGAGAGCGTAAATCTCTTAAAGTAATTTTGAGTATTGGAGGCATAAATTGCAAACAACTAATGTGCTTTTGGCGTTACAAATCATCTGAGTGACAATCTGAGTGAGCTGAGTCCCAATTGCCATTTCATTAGCTGAGGCTGATTTATTTACAGCAGCATCCAACAGAGAGGAGTTCCATGGCCTGTGAGCCAAAAATGACTCTGGAAACAGAGCTGTGAATCAAACCTGGACTTGAGCATTGCGACACGACCTGTTTTTCCCTGAACTCCACACATTCCAGACAAATATTACATATATTTCTGTATTTTTATATTTCTATTTATATAGCTACATAGGCACAGATAGAGATAGATGTCGTATATTTAACTTTATTTATCTGTGTGTTTCATTTATAGATAAGTGCACATACATTAAAAAATTTATATATATATATATATATTATATATAATATATATATACACACACACTATATACACACATATATATATATATATGCATGTGTATATGTATGTATATATATATGTATATAAGTACGGGAAGTAACAAAACCAGGAAGTGTTGCAGGAAGATTTTACGACTTTCGTTGCCAACCCCGTGTACCCGAACCTGCCGGCACCGAGCCCCCCGGGAGAGCTCTCCCGGGCCAGCCCCGGCCCCGCCCGAGCCGCCGTGTCCGCCCGGGGCACAGCCAGCCCGGAGCGCCCCGGCCCGGCCCGCCTGTCACGTACCACCTGCACGGGGGGCTCGGGGCTCCCGCCGGCTCTCCCCGGCTCCGCCATCGCCGCCGCCCCGCAGGGAGGAGCGGGAGGAACAACCACAGAGACGGAGGCTGGAGCGGCCGGAAGAGGCTCTGCTGGCGGCGGCTGCTGAGCCCCGGTCGCGGCCCGTGAGGGGACCCCGGCCCCGGCCCGTGAGGGCACCCCGACTCCGGCCCGTGAGGGTACCCCGGCCCGGCCCCGGTCCCGGCCCCGGCCCGTGAGGGGACCCCGGCCCGGCCCGTGAGGGCACCCCGACTCCGGCCCGTGAGGGCACCCCGGCCCCGGCCCGTGAGGGCACCCCGGCCCCGGCCCCGGCCCCGGCTGTGGAGACAGTCGTACGGAAAATCACGCTGTGAAAAACCAATGTCCACAAAAGAGGCAGAGGCGTCCTGCATCTTTATTCGAATAAAGGGAGAAGCCACACGCCCACGGGGTTTTCTCTCTCGGGATCTCCCTTTTATCCCGAACCTTTCGCCGTGCTGCGGTACTGGGAAGGTACAGCCTTCCCGAGTCGCCTGCCGCGCGTTCCCCGCCGTAAACATGTCATTTTCCCCCGATGTTCAGAAGTTCGGGCTTGTGCCGACCCTCATCAGTTTCAGCAGTCAAGCTGAGCTCTGCAGCAAACCTGCTGCTTGTTAATAGAGACACTGAGATGCATTTCAAAGGCGTTAGCATCCATACCTTCACTCATCGAATTGTTTGTTAAGACTTTAGCACACCTCTTCCCTCTCACACTGATTGCTCAATTGATGCTGACCGCAAGCGCTTGCCCACCTGTTCTCTAAGCTAAATCCTGTAAATTTTCAGCAGTGTTACAATGCTTTTTCAAAGTTATTTCCCACACTGAGGTATGGCGACAGGTAGTAGCCTGCTTGAACAGAAATTTGTGGAAATTGAAACAAATTTTTCGCTTTGGAGTTGTTCATCATACATACTCCTGGCTACAATGCTTTTTCAAAGTTATTTCCCGCACTGAGGTATGGCGACAGGTATACATATAACAGGTATATATAACAAATTTCAGTTCAGGCCTGCTTGAACTGAAATTTGTGGAAATTGAAACAAATTTTTCGCTTTGGAGTTGTTCATCATACATACTCCTGGAGAATGATAATGGTAATGCCAATGTTCTCTAATCTCTCCAGTCTGTGCTTTTCTTGGTCTGAACTACTGTGTTCAGTGTTTTATTAATTAAAAAAAAAAAAAAAAAGTTTCTAATAACCTCTAAAAAGAAAAAATTGCTGGTGGTAATGGTGCCATTGTCATAGAGTCATGGAATGTTAAGGTGTTGGAATGGAATGGATTTAAAGATGATCCAGTGCTATTCCCTACCATGGGCAGGGACACCTTCCACTGTCCTGGGTTGTTCCAAAACCTGTCCAACCTGGCCTTGAACGCTTCCAGCGATGGGGCAGCCACAGCTTCTCTGGGCAACCTGTGCCAGGGTCTCCCCACCCTCACAGTAAAATATTTGTTCCTGATATCTAACCTGAATTTCCCCTCTTTCAACTTGTGCCCATTACTCCTTGTCCTGTCACTGCAGTTCCTGACAGAGGTTAATTAAAAAAAAGTTTCTAATAACCTCTAAAAAGAAAAAATTGCTGGTGGTAATGGTGCCATTGTCATAGAGTCATGGAATGTTAAGGTGTTGGAATGGAATGGATTTAAAGATGACCCAGTGCTATTCCCTACCATGGGCAGGGACACCTTCCACTGTCCTGGGTTGTTCCAAATCCTGTCCAACCTGGCCTTGAACGCTTCCAGCGATGGGGCAGCCACAGCTTCTCTGGGCAACCTGTGCCAGGGTCTCCCCACCCTCACAGTAAAATATTTGTTCCTGATATCTAACCTGAATTTCCCCTCTTTCAACTTGTGCCCATTACTCCTTGTCCTGTCACTGCAGTTCCTGACAGAGTTCCTCTCCAGCTTCCTTGTAGGCCCTTTCAGATACTGGAGGGCATTTCAAAGTATACTGAAAAGTATTATTGATCATTTATTAACTAAAATTATGGTTGTGCAACCACTTACTACCTTGAAAGTATTCACAGCTAAAAGGGATTGCAGCACCAGGCCCTGTACAACAACCTATTCAGAATTTTTTAAATTTGCACAAAGCAATCTTTGTTAAGCAAAATCCTGAGATTATCCCTTGTTTATTTGAAGAGCCTGTTAAACAGCCAGACAATTCAAGGAGAAAACAGAGCAGAGTTATCTTAAAATGTTGGTTGGCACACAAATCTGAGAACTGAGGTGAGGAGAACAGCCAAGCAGTAATTCACCCTCGGAATGTATTTCAAATTATCTGCACAGCTTCTCACCGTCCAGCCTGAGTTTAATCTCTCCATGAGCAGCGCTGTTAAATATGATCATTCCTGTTCCTGGCGACAAAGGCTGCTGGCACTGTTGTGTTGCCTGCGTGCCTTGCTTTATCTAGGAAAGTGTAGCAGAGTATTGCTTTACTCACCCTAAACCAAACAAAAGTCCTAGTCAGGGACAGCGCCTCATTAAGCGAAGCAAAATGCAGACAAAGCCCTTGCTGCCTTCCCTGAGGAAAATACAGAACCAGTCAAACCCACCAGAAATGTTTTCTAAGTTATGTTATGTAGCTGACCACAGAAAGTAATTAAATACAAACTTCTGCTTAGAATGTGATTTTTGTTTGGGGTGGGTTTGGAAAGACATTTAAAGGCCCACAAGCATGTGGAACCTATTCAGTGGGATTGTCAGGGCAACCTAGGCAGCTAACACCCATTGTGAGGGCTCTTACCTACTGGCTTTTGAAATTCCAGCAGGCATTTCTGTGTCCCTGGACAACTTGGGAAATGAAACTTTCCAAAGTACAGTCAATTGCTTCACTGCCCATTCCACTTTCATGTGGGGCAGAATGGGAAGAGATCTCCCAACATTGTCACAATAAACTTATTAGGAAGCAAGCAAAGATGGTTTGGTCCCAGTTCTACTTCTAATTGCTCTGTGTTAAAGATTTTTCACAGTGGTGGGGGGCAGCTCACAAAGCAGTCCTCTCAGCTAAAAGCATTGCAAACTCGGACATTTCTTACCAAATTCATGTTTCACTTTTATTTCTGACAAAATAATCTTTTCAGGACTATTACTGTGAACTAAGATTTGCAATTTCTGGAGGCTTTAGCTGTCAAATAGAAATTTTCCTCATCTTAATGGAAAAGCATAATATCTAAAAAAATTGGTTATGTTTTTGTTTTTTTTTGTTTTTTGTTTTTGTTTACATATAACTGTCATTTCTAAAACGACACAGACTCACATTATGAACATCATGGACATATTGACTTGTGAGGGCAGATCTCAGCTGATTTCACTGGAGTTTAAAAGAAGATAAAGCAAGACTGCTTGTGTAGGCTATCAGTGGGGTTATTGAGGCTGAGTAGCCTTGGTTTAGTTTCTTTTTGCAAAGCTCAACTGGTAACTGGGGTGGTAAAAACGCATCTGTACAAACAAATCTGTTGTGTTGTGGAGCATGTGAGCAACTTAATTTGGTTGTATCTTTATTGGAAAGACAGAATGAGTGAGTATAGAGTGTTCTTTTAACACATTTGTCACTGAAGTTAGAAGCTCTAGTACTGAAGTATTTCCAGAACTCACTATGTTGAAAGGATCATTCAACGGAGTAGGTAAAAAATTCAGCTCAGAGCAAGTTTTGAAACCACTTCTATTCAAAGAATGCTTTGAGCTTCCAAAAATGTTCTGTTATTTTCATAAAATGTCACAGTTGAGTGGCAAGAGAAGAGGGGGGCAATAGTTCTCATTACAGTACAAAACAGCAGAAAGGGACATGAGAAGCTCATCTAATCCTGGCATCCTGAGACAGGCTCAGCTCACAAACACCTACTGCTCTGTGGGGCTTCATAACAGCCTCGGCCACTTCACTGCAGTCCTTGCTCTCTTTGCCCATGGAAAGAATTTCTTCATGTCCAGCTTCGATATTGCAGCACTTTCTAAGCCCCCTGAAATGTGGCTGGCTAAGATCTTTTCCCTGTGGCTAGAAGATGCAGACTTCTGTGATCTCCCCAGTTTTAGAGCTGTTGAGGCTGAGCCCAAAGCATAACTTATCCCTTTTATACAGAAGCTTTTTCTTTCTCTCTCTTCCCCTCCATAGTGTTCAGCTTCCAAGGTACAGCTCTTCACTTTGAATCCTCTTAGTAACAGCACCTTAATATTTTACCTTAGGCAAGAATTATCCTACTTTGTTCCTACCTTAGAAGCTTTGGCACTTTGTCTGCATTTTAGACCAGATGTGAAAAGTTTTGCTGGGCTATTAAAAATAAAACAACAAGACCCTTACCACCCTACCCTGCTTTTTTGCAGGCCTAAAAAGGGATTTTATAATCAAACACCCTAAATACTAACAAGGAGGCCGGTAACCTGCCCAAAGATAAGACTAGAATCTCTTAGAAAGGAGACAGGCCCCATCCCTTCAGCCGGTATCTCCACCCCAAGAGGCTGCTCAGCCCCCTGCTCCAGGGGTCCCCTGATAGCCCTCTCCAGTGGCTTTATCCCCTGCAGCTGTGTGCCTTCTCAGCTGCTTTCTTGCTAATGCCTATGTTAACCCTTTCTTTGCCTGAGGAGGCTTACAAATTCCATCACAAATCCTTTATCCTTCCCCAGCCTGCAAGCCCTTTATGAATTTATGATTTTATGAATTTTCAAATTGCTGTTGAGTTTCCCTCCCATCCCACGCTCTCGTTGAGGTTATGGACATCTGATTTGTTCAGTGATGTTTCAGACCTTTGTTTGTTCTCCTGGCTCTGTTCTGGATGCTCTCTGGGCACTTTGCATCTCCGCTGGAGAATAAGCCCCAGCACCAGTCCTGGTGCTCCTGCTGGGGCTGGACCAGAGCAGGATTACTTCTCATGTCTTGCAAGCCATACTCCTGTTTGCACAGCTTAGTGCAGTGTTTGCCTTTTTCACAATGGCTTGACACTGTTAGCTCCTAATCAGCTTGTGATCTGTTATATCCCCTAGATCTTTTTCTGCATGAGGGAAAC